TATGATTTCAATAATATGCCGACATACCTTGATAAAATCCAAAATGAACTATTTTTTATACTCCGGTAACCAAATTCAACATTTTTATTTTTAAATTTATGTCGAATTAATAAATATTTTTCAATAATACTGGATTGTACTACTGACGTTTCACACGAAGAGCAAATTAGTATGATAATAAGATTTGTCAACTTTAACATGTAAACTAGAAAGTTAAGAATAAGAGAGCATTTCCTCCAGCTCTTCCAATTTATAATAGCACTTTCTGCTAATCGTAGATACAACGCTGAGTAACGTCATTTATAATAGAAAAACTAAACGAAATTAATTTGGACATAAAGAACTTAAGGGGCAAGGCTATGATAATGGCTCAAATATGCGCGGTAAGAATATTGCGGGATGTACGAGTAAATCTCCGCACTCTTTTTATGTCCGTGCGCCAGCCATAGTTTAAATTTAATAATAAATGACCTCACATCTCATACACGACTGCGTTTTTAATATTGTGCAAGAACTATATAAATATTTTTCGTCCCTCTACTAAAAGATGGGATTTATTACAAAGATATGTCATAAATCTGACCTTAAAAACGGTTAGATAAAAATAACATCATAAATAAACTATGTAACAATTTAATTCACGTTTTATTTTTTCACGGCAATTGGCCAGCGGACGTTTTACCTATTTAAGTGGATTAAACTAAAGAAAAATTTTCTTTCAGTCAAAATTAAAAAATACATTGAAACTTGAAGATTCTTAAAAAATAGGCCGAAATATAGAAGGAGTTCCCTCAAAGGCCTGCAACACACCCGCCTAAAAATGTCTATGAGATTCAATGACTGCCATTTTTTTCCGTCCCTAAGGCTCGTTTGACCCCTATAGAAAAAGGAGGCGCTTCATGGGTTTTCGCACACAGGCGCTGCAGGGGGTCGGCGCGGCCCTGATCGAACCTCGATAACCTCAGGGATGAGAGTCGCACAATGAAGCCACTAGGCCAACACTGCTCGACCAAAACCAACAACTTTTGTAAACATAGAACCTTTTTAGCACTATACCACAATAACTTTATTTCTCCCTAATAGTTGTGTAATCGCTTATTAGGGATAATCCCATTATTCAAGTGAAATACTTACGTGTTAGAATAGGAGCCATCACATCCGACAGCGGCGATGTCAAATTTGTAATTTCGTCTCTTTTCACAGTTTAGCGGGTACCGGACCCGCAGTCGCGCCTCATTCTCGTCAATCACCATTATCTGTCAACATTATGCTCAAATAAAATACAATTCGTAGACAAGGGTTAGCGCTCTCGAGGGAAAATATTTATATAAATAATAATGAATCCAAAATATGTTGCTATGATGAAAACTCGAAAATGGGCCAATTGGAGCACTTTTTAAATGTTACTGTGCCTGTGAGCCCATAATTGAGAGAAAATTTTGAAAAATCGCAAAGAAAAACCAATCTAAGAATCTAAAATTACTTTTAAGAATCACAATTTATATTCATTCTATTTGATATTCTTTAATTGTTACTTCTCAGAGCAGTGCAAATCCTCCTCGAGTGGGGTCGAGGCGCCATTTTGACTCTGGACAGTGCGCTCAGGGAACGCACAACAGTACTGATTAAGTAGTCAGTTTGGCAGCATTGTGGTGATGAGAGGTTGGGTCTGGTAGATTGTGATTAAAAGTGAGATCGGTGTCCTGTACGTGCTAGTGTTAAAAGGATCATCAAGGATCATCAATCTGAATTAAATATTGTACGATAATTATTCATATGACCCCCCACTAAGCCCGATAATGGCGATGTCAATATCGATGGAGTGACGATAATTTTCCGACATATATGCTTCGTGATTCTTAAAAGTGCTTTCATTTTAAATATACCTCTAAAGCCGACAACAAAATGGAATTGGAATGGAAATGGATCATTGATTTACAAAAGAAATAGCCTTTGACCTTTGATGCTTTTAGGCAAAAGATTTAATTTTACTTAAATTCTATAAATAATAGTTTAGACTAACTAACTCAACAAAAATCCCACGAAATATAGTTTTTGACCCGCCCAAAAAAATCTACTTCTTAACAATTATTCTTATGTTTAACTTTTAATTTAATTTATATTTTTATTAATTTTACTATACACCTTTACACAAGACTTCAATACGTACACTGCACTGGTAACTTTTATTATTATTTTTTCTACTAAGTATTTATTACATTCCTTTTCTTTCTTTTTTGCGACTGAGGCGCAAACTAGCTGCTGTGGTCTCTGGCAGAATGACCAGCGCCGTGGAAAAGCCGCAGCACACACGCATTACACACTTGAAACGAACCGAATAGGAAAAGGTTTTTTTTAAGGTTTTTGACATCTCTCATTTTTAAAGAAAACACTTTATTACCGGATTGAAGTTATGCATTATTATAAATTTACAATTATTTTTACATAATTTTATCAGCGTGCGTGGGTGACCACGAACGCTGTAAACGAAACGTCGGAAAAATTTAAAATTTGTAAAATTTGTAAATTTATAATAATACATAACTTCAGTAAAAAAGTGTTTTCTTTAAATGTTAAAAGTTATGTCAATAAAAACATATACTCATTTTATTTTTTCTTTGATTATTGTTATTTTTTGTGTTTATGTGTGTGTGTTTTTGTTTGTAATAAATGTTATGTCTATGGCTAAGTACAGCTTGATATATTCGGTAGTGGGCTGATAATAGAAAAAAAAAATTATTAAGCGCCTATCTGGTACCTAATACGCATTGTTATGCAATAAATTACAAGTAAAATCTAAAATTGGAAGTGTATTTTTATTTTTTGTAAAATGTATATTCACCATATATTTTAGAATGTAACATATACTGTAGAAAATGCATAATATATGTTGTGTATCTTAATTAAACAATTAATAGAATATGCCGTTATTAAACAAAATCATGTATCATCAAAGTTATTTCCGATTTGCTCCCGTGTATCACCCTAACAGAGGAACAACTAATAATAATCCTTTGACGGAGACATTTCCGGAATTAGATTTCCAGACTTGCAGTCAATTGAATTGAGACATGCTGACAAAGGCATACTGTTATACAAATTCCTATTTATCAAGCGAATTCAGAATTGTCAAATACAATAATATCACATCCGATACACGGGCTACTACCAGAAATACCGTTTAAAACCTTACGTGAGGTTAAAAGGAAGAGGCCGATTCGAGAGTTTATTTTCTTAATTTAGACACTTGAATGAAATCAGCGAATATACTAATTTAGAGAGGGTTATGAATACTTTTATCCTAATAAGTCTCAATGTAGTATTGTCTTTGATTAACATAACTTTTATTCATTTAATAAAACACTATTTTGACCGTGCGTGCGTGCGTGGTCACCGTGACCACGCACGCTGTAAAGCACGCGAAACGTCGGATAAATTTAAAATTATGTTAAATAGTTGTAAATTTATAATAATACATAACTTCAATCCGGTCAAAATAGTGTTTTATTAAGTCTCAATGTATATTTTTACTGTTTTACAAACCTACTATCCCAGAATTCATCACGTTTTAAGAGCGTAGGTGCCATAGCGGAAAAATGTTATCTAAATTTAATAAAGTTTGATATGATATGTACGATACAAATAATATAAGAATTGACTTTGACTTATAATGTAAAATTCCTTAAGAAAATTTGCGCGCAATTGTATATGGCTGAATATGCAAACTTACGATTGTACCACCTTAAACATTTTTGTACCATATTCTTGCAATAAATTATTATTATTATTATAAAAGCATAACACTTTCCAATTTTAAACATTAATTTAGGTTTAAAGACTTTATTTCTCAAAAAAGACAAAAAAAAATGTCACTTACATGAGAATAATACTCTAGATAACATAACATTGTAGTCGTTCTTAAAATAATCACAATAAAATATAGCCGTACATGCAATAAATTTAAAAATAAAAGTAAACAAAGAAATATGAATTAAAAGTAATTATAAGAAATGAATTTAAAAGTAATTTTGTTTAACATATTCACTTAGCTTCGATTTGAATGAATTAATAGAAGTAATATTTTTTATATCTGTGGGTAGTTTAATATACAGCAATTTGACGTTCACGTTCTAAAATTTTCCTTACCATAACTCTTTCGTGACAAATATTGGACACGTTATAAAATAGCCCATCAAAGACGTTGCCAGCGGCAATAAATTTTAAAATTGAATAAAAATATCGCTTCATAACACGTGACAGCTTATTCCCAAAGCAATAAAGCTCAAATTACAACATCCCGTATGCGGTAGATTTCTCATGAGAAATCGTTGCTTACTTCACTCGTAAAGTGCGACAGGAATTTTACAATCGCATTCGTGATCGTAAACTTCATTAATGTTAAAGGTTACGATTTTGGTGAACACTTGAGACTGATAACTTCTTGGGGTTTTACGGACAACGTAAAGGGATATTTGGGGCATAAAACCTAATAAGCTGTTTATTTTAGAAGCCTCAAATTATGCTATTGTATATTTTTTATTATTAATTTAGTGAAAAGTTATGTAAAATGTAACGAATATAACTATGTTAAGGGGGACGCAGCCTAATTATTTAATTGCTATATGCCGTCATGTATAGAAAAAATTCAGCGTTACAAATGTCGGGTTAAATTTAAAATCTTTAAAAATATCAGTACCTGCCGTTTATTCTTAAGAGCGTTTCCTTCTTTTCCTTCGACTTTACAATTACTAATTTTGGATTTATAAACAGCAGAAACTAACACAATATAAAAAACTGTACAGTCAATACTTCAATCAACAAAAGCGAATCAATAACAAACACAAAATTACTTTTATTCCAGTTATTTCGTAAAAACTTGAATATCAAAATGATGAATACGAAACCTATAAAATGAAAACTTTTTGTATCGTGCAGAATAAAATGGACAAATAAAAAGTGAACACGGTCCAATAATTTTAGTGCAATTCTAGTACCATTTTTCTGCAATTGCGACACTAGATCGCGCACTGAATGTATAAAGTTTGCATGTCGATTGCCTAGTAACGATTTGACTCGATACGAGAGTTATGTAACCTAACATAACCTTTTTTTATGTAATAGAAGGCAAACGGGCATGATCAGGCAGGCTCATCTGATGTTAAGTGATACCGCCGCCCATGGACACTCACATTGCCAGAAGGCTCGCAAGTGCGTTGCCGGCCTTTTAAGACTCGGTACGCTCTTTTCTTGAAGAACCCTAAGTCGAATTAGTATATAAACCTAATTAATGTTACATAAAAAAACTAAATTAATAATGTAAGGAAACGTAATCTTACCTCGAACGGCGCCTCCCCATGATGCTTATTATTCAGTATGAGGAAGGAGCATAGCGGACCCCTGGCACGTATCGTAGGCCTCACTTCCACCAGGGTCTCGTTCTCTCTGATCAGCCCGTGGTATCCTTCATCCGGCTCCGCGAGCTCCAAGTATGGAATGTCTGAAAACATGGAAACTATTAGAACCAATTCGTAAACCTTATATTTGGGTAGCGTAAACACATTATTTTATAATATACCTATTTGGTTTCAGCATATACAGTTCCGTTTCGCAAGTATACAATGAAAGAAAGAAAAAATGTAAAACTCTTAAACTTTGCGAAAGCCACTTAAAACTTCATTCATTACAAACCGATAGATTGTTGAATAATGTATGGCTCCGATGTGCTTGCAATTTGGAGAAACGCCAGCATTGGGTAAGTGAAAATGCCCGGAACTAATTCGAGGTGTAATAAGGGTCAAAATAGTTTGAAAACTGTGGTCTAATATTGTTTTGTGTCAATTGTGGCACAGATGGCATGACCAACTCTTGGTATAGTCTGTAACCTGTCTCTCGGTTAAAAAAGCTTTTAAAGTGCGTCTGCGTCGAGTACAATAATAGCAAACCCAAGTTCGATGTAAAAGTTTCTCGTCTTTCTCCTTAAGTAAAAAAACCCAAATCTTTGATATTTTGAGGTAAAAATATAAACACAAGAGACTAGAATAGTGAAAGGATGTTAAAACTTTTATAACAGCCTTCGTTATAACGTTAGAGTTAAATTTGTTTGTTTTAACACAATATATACATTAATCCCAACTCTTTATAACGCAACAGCCGTTTTATATAACGAAGAAATATTTTTATATTCAGACATCAACAACATACTTAAGCGTAATTGATTTTATACTCGGCTAACAAAAATATAACCTTTTGAGGTGCCGAAATTTCTACGAAAGACACATGAGGTCATAAACAGTCTCACCTTTGTTATTATTAATTGAATTAACACGTGTGCCATTATTCTTAGATAACATTGCCTGTATCAAATTTTGGTCGCAGTTACTAAACGCACCATCATCACCTATCGTGTATTATCAGTCGTATATAAACTTTGAAACTGTCAAAATGGCTAGTAAAATAAAAGCTTTATGTGTTAACGAAAAAGTAACGAATAAAATTGAAAATTATTGTAATTGGTTAAATTTGTTTGGTTTCTCTACCCTGCGTATAACGAAATTCTCCATACCGAAAAAAAATGCTCCGTGTCTTGAAATTCGTTATAAAGAGTAAACACTGTATTACAATCGAGCTGGTGAGCGCTACGTCTTCTTAAGTTCTCATGTCATTTTCACACGTGTATATCCTCTTTCTAACATATTTTCGTTAGTATTTGATTGTCCTTTGCATGTGTGATATTTCAGAGGATAAATAAAAAAAAAATCACTACGCCATTCACTTGACATGTTGAAACAAAATTCATAATAAAGTAACAAGGGCTTACACTTTATAAATAAAATAAATACATCAGTGGCGTCACAACCTTTATAGGTCTGGGCCTCAGATTTCTGTATCTGTTTCATGATGATTTGTTAATCTAATAGGCAAGTAGGTGATCAGCCCCCCCCCCCCCCCCCCCCCCCCCCCCCCCCCCCCCCCCCCCCCCCCCCCCCCCCCCCCCCCCCCCCCCCCCCCCCCCCCCCCCCCCCCCCCCCCCCCCCCCCCCCCCCCCCCCCCCCCCCCCCCCCCCCCCCCCCCCCCCCCCCCCCCCAAAACCCCCCCCCCCCCCCCCCCACCCCCCCCCCCCCCACCCAGGGAGGAGGCCCCCCCGCCCCCGCCCAACCCCCCCCCCCCCCCCCCCCCCCCCCCCCCCCCCCCAAAAACCCCACCCCCCCCCCCCCCCCCCCCCCCCCCCCCCCCCCACCCCCCCCCCCCCCCCCCCCCCAACCCCCCCCACCCCCCCCCCCCCCCCCCCCCCCCCCCCCCCCCCCCACCCCCCCCCAAAAAAAAAGAGGGGCGGGGAAACCGGGGAACCAAAAAAAACCCCCCCCCACCCCCCCCCAAAAAAACCCCCCCCCCCCCCCCCCCCCCCCCCCCCCCCCCCCCCCCCCCCCCCCCCCCCCCCCCAACCCCCACCCCCCAACCCCCAAACAAAAAAGGGGGGGGAGGGGGGGGGGGAAAAAAGGA